TATTTTTGGGATCTTCCTCAGGTGGAAGTTGTCGCACTGAATTACTGACTTTTATCAAATCTGAGCTCATAGTAAAAAGTGATGAGCAGGATTTTGTTGTGGTGTCGAGGGACGTTAGTAAAAACCTGATTTACTCTGATTTTAATTGCAGACAATTTCAGCTGGACAGCTATTCAATTGAGATGTTGTGTGGCAACATTATCATAGCGATGATTAAAACACACAACCACATTTTTGGTGCAGCATAATAAAAAAAAGAAAAGGAATTGGATCAAAGATTGACTCTTGAGGCGCTCCACAAGTCAAATGGGTACAGGTGGAAATACGAGAAAACAGCAGATATGATCTTTCTAGCTGATAAATGGTGTCATCGAATACACAGAGAAACTCTAAATTGGATTTCTAATCCAATTCAGTCTTGACCTTACCATGTAAAATGCCTTGAGGTTATGTATGTTGTGATTTGGCGTTATACAAATGAAATGTATTCAAATGACTGCATGATCATGATAATTCTATTCGAGGATCATTTTTTTAACAATCTTCAACTAAAGGAGACTGAATTAAAGGAGGGTTGTGTTTGTGGTCATTGTTAGAGCAAGCAGATCTAAGTGAGCATCGAGCAGATGCACGTACCACGTGTCATCAATATGCAATGATCCTGAGCCACTTTGATTCAAGTGGAAGAGAATGTTGCGGAGGACTGAGATGTTAACGAGTCGACATTTTAAAGGTCGCATCTGGGTTAAAAGGGTTGGATGTTAAGTCGTATTAATCAGAATATATTAGTGATCCGATATATAATCATCCAATTTTGTAGAGCTAAGTGTCATACCCGTGTCAAGACTCGGAAAAATCACTTACGGGGGAATGAATTGCAACATTTCCATGTGAATTAAACCTGATCTTACTTTACAATAAAAGCTGAGAGGCAACATGAGATCCTGAAAGCTAGGAAATCTTTTTAGAAGTGACACCACAGGAAAAATGTCAGTTCAAAACTGGATTTGACTCTGAAACATTTAATTTTCAAAACAGAAACGAACGATCAATTTCAGGGGTTGCCTCTCACTGTTATGAGACAACTGCAACACATCGTTAGAAAAGCTGCTTTCAGACAAATACTCCAGAGATCATCCAGAGGTGTACGTGTGAATGCAAATGTCCAAGTGTGAATTTCTGCTGACTTTCTCTGACAAGTCTGCAGGATGTCCCGTGGAGCCGATGTGAGAACACAGCAGGAGATCCTAAGCAGGATTCGTCAAGAGTTTAGGGTATTTCTAACATGCCCCAGATGCAAATATGAAAAAAAATTGTCTTGAGGTATATTCAAGAGGCCAAAAAACAAGTTTTTTGAAGCCTCCGTGACCTTTGACTGCTGAAATCTAAATCATTTATCAGTGAGTCAAAGAGTCAAAGAGAATTAAGCCAGATGTAGTGAAATTCCCAATATCTAACATTCACAAGAACATTAGATCACTGTGACCTTGACCTTTGACCCCCCCGGCACTAAAATCCAATCAGTTCATCTTTGAGTCTCAGCGAAAGTTTCTACCAAATTTGAAGACATTCAAGCTGATCTTAAGATATCCTGCTCCACCTTGACCTTTAGCTACCGAGATCAAGTTCAAGTGTCCAGATGTTCTACGTTTGTGCTTAAGTGAGAAGCAACATCTGCAGTGAGTCTGGACCCAATCCTCTGCACATCTGGAGCTCACATCTGAAACCAGTGTAAGATTCACTCACTGTTTAGTGAGTCACTGAAATGTTCTGTTGTTGCCTTTGAATCGATTCCGAGAGTGAAAGATGAACGGTTTGTGTAACTGTGGATACGGTTGTGCCTCAATAACCAACACTGCCGGTTGTGTTTGGATGGCTGCAGCTTCTTAAAAGACTCATGAAAAACTCAACAAGTGTAAATAATTAAAACCCCAATCTTTCATCTTTTCTTTT